TGTACTTAACCTATACTTATAATAGGTTAAGTAATAATTGTAATTACGAAGCAATAAGATGCTTATCTTAACATACTAAGAAGGTTAGGTAAGGTCGGTGTTTTCTATGAAGCTTTTCAAGGTAAACTAAAATATTCACTATAAATTAGTATGTCACATATGCACTTATTTAATAAGTCAATATTGACTATACGAAAGTGCGAGAACGGGTTGACGTAGTCCATGCTGGCGGGGGCAGTGAGGTGTATAGTGGAAGCTCTAACTTACAGACCATGGCGGTCACAACAACGGGGTCATCACGTGCTAATTTGATCTATAGAGGATTTTAAGGTGAACCCAAGTGTAGGGTCGCTCTGGTTGGCTGGATGAGTGTTTAATGTGTAGTGCCTCAGCTATGTCTGATCCTCTGCTCTCACTGTATCTGTCGCTTATGTCTGGCGATGGGTCTGGTTATGTGTCTATAAACGATTTAGTCCTCTATAGTCTCGTTGTGTCTGTATAGTCAGACGGTCTTTAAAAGATCTAATCACTTCTCGTACTTGGCCTGAAAACTACGGATGGAGGCGGCAGCCACAATTTGAATACTTTCGTATGTTTGTCACTCATCTTTAATGATAACTTCCGCGGGACACGACTGACAGAAGCTCGAACTAGAAACATTGATTGATTGATGAAGATTAAGCCACCCAAGAGGTGGCACGGGCATGAATAGCCCCGTAAGACCCGACATGACACTCGTTCTCTTGTGCAGCGGCACCTGAGGTAAATAGGCAAACAGTCTCCGTGGTATAGTGGTAAGACACCCGCCTGGCGTTCCGCGAGCACTTTGTCATGGGTTCGTATCCTGGTTGAGCGTAGTTGGTCAATTGAGCGTAGAGTGCGCAGGTGCCGCAATGGCGAATGCTGGCCCTTGTGCGGCTGTCATCATCTGAGGATGATGACTGGTTTGATATCATCTGAGGATGCTGAGCGATTTGATATCATCTGAGGATGGGGACTGATCCTCAAATGAGACTGTGGACTCTCTGCTCTAGAGACATGCCATTGATCACCATGCCGGTCGGCCGAGCGGACAGCACGCTAGACTTGTAATCCTGTGGTCCTGGGTTCGATCCCAGGCGCCGGCGAGAAACAATGGGCAGAGTTTCTTTCACCATATGCCCCTGTTACCTAGCAGTAAAATAGGTACCTGGGTGTTAGTCAGCTGTCACGGGCTGCTTCCTGGGGGTGGAGGCCTGGTCGAAGACTGGGCCGCGGGGACACTAAAAGCCCCGAAATCATCTCAAGATAATCTCAAGATAACCATAGTTACCTAAACAAACATAAATGATCAAACTTATTATCAGTTGTAGTATTTTTATTATTATTATTTGCATACGCTTCCAACCTTTAAGCACAAAAGACTTAGCTTTTGTGCGTAACTCATTTCAAAAAACATTTAGCAACAATTTTTTGTGTGATTCTGGCCCCAAAATCTTAACATGAGGATGACTGTTGCTCGATAGACAGTTAAATCGATGCACTAATATATAATAATAGACATTTGATAGTTTGTATAGTTCCTGTACCTCTAAGAATTTATCTAAGATATAAGATTTATCTCTAGGCTGTCTAGATAGAGAAAATCTATCTAGTCTAGATAGAGAAAATCTATCTAGTCTAGATAGAGAAAATCTATCTAGTCTAGATAGAGAAAATCTATCTAGTCTAGATAGAGAAAATCTATCTAGTCTAGATAGAGAAAATCTAAATCTAACAAAATCTAGATTTTCAAAATCTAGATTTTTTTTGGTTAAGCTGTGTAAGGGATTAATAGGGAACATTAAGTTTTTATCCAAGATAAAAACAAATATGGTTGAGTAAAATCCCTGATAGCCAGCGGGCCCAGAGCAGCGGACGACGTCTGAACCTTACGAAGGTGGGACTGTCTCATCTTAGCTATAAGACTGTCTTATCTTAGGCACAAGACTGTCTCATCTTGGCCACAAGACTGTCTCATCTTAGCTATAAGACTGTCTTATCTTGGCCACAAGACTGTCTCATCTTGGCCACAAGACTGTCTCATCTTAGCTATAAGACTGTCTTATCTTGGCCACAAGACTGTCTCATCTTGGCCACAAGACTGTCTCATCTTAGCTATAAGACTGTCTTATCTTGGCCACAAGACTGTCTCATCTTGGCCACAAGACTGTCTCATCTTAGCTATAAGACTGTCTTATCTTAGCTATAAGACTGTCTCATCTTGGCCACAAGACTGTCTCATCTTAGCTATAAGACTGTCTCATCTTAGCTATAAGACTGTCTTATCTTGGCCACAAGACTGTCTCATCTTGGCCACAAGACTGTCTCATCTTGGCCACAAGACTGTCTCATCTTAGCTATAAGACTGTCTTATCTTGGCCACAAGACTGTCTCATCTTGGCCACAAGACTGTCTCATCTTGGCCACAAGACTGTCTCATCTTAGCTATAAGACTGTCTTATCTTAGCTATAAGACTGTCTTATCTTAGCCACAAGACTGTCTCATCTTAGCTATAAGACTGTCTTATCTTAGCTATAAGACTGTCTCATCTTAGCCACAAGACTGTCTCATCTTGGCCACAAGACTGTCTCATCTTGGCCACAAGACTGTCTTATCTTAGCTATAAGACTGTCTTATCTTAGCTATAAGACTGTCTTATCTTAGCCACAAGACTGTCTCATCTTGGCCACAAGACTGTCTCATCTTGGCCACAAGACTGTCTCATCTTGGCCACAAGACTGTCTCATCTTAACCACAAGACTGTCTCATCTTAGCTATAAGACTGTCTCATCTTAGCTATAAGACTGTCTCATCTTAGCTATAAGACTATCTTATCTTAGGCACAAGACTGTCTCATCTTAGCCACAAGACTGTCTCATCTTGGCCACAAGACTGTCTTATCTTAGCTATAAGACTGTCTCATCTTAGCTATAAGACTGTCTTATCTTAGCCACAAGACTGTCTCATCTTGGCCACAAGACTGTCTCATCTTAGCTATAAGACTGTCTTATCTTAGCCACAAGACTGTCTCATCTTGGCCACAAGACTGTCTCATCTTGGCCACAAGACTGTCTCATCTTGGCCACAAGACTGTCTCATCTTGGCCACAAGACTGTCTCATCTTAACCACAAGACTGTCTCATCTTGGCCACAAGACTGTCTCATCTTGGCCACAAGACTGTCTCATCTTGGCCACAAGACTGTCTCATCTTGGCCACAAGACTGTCTCATCTTGGCCACAAGACTGTCTCATCTTGGCCACAAGACTGTCTCATCTTGGCCACAAGACTGTCTCATCTTAGCTATAAGACTGTCTTATCTTAGCCACAAGACTGTCTCATCTTGGCCACAAGACTGTCTCATCTTGGCCACAAGACTGTCTCATCTTAGCTATAAGACTGTCTTATCTTAGCCACAAGACTGTCTCATCTTAGCTATAAGACTGTCTTATCTTAGCTATAAGACTGTCTCATCTTAGCTATAAGACTGTCTTATCTTAGCTATAAGACTGTCTCATCTTAGCTATAAGACTGTCTTATCTTAGGCACAAGACTGTCTCATCTTGGCCACAAGACTGTCTCATCTTGGCCACAAGACTGTCTCATCTTGGCCACAAGACTGTCTCATCTTGGCCACAAGACTGTCTCATCTTGGCCACAAGACTGTCACATCTTGGCCACAAGACTGTCTCATCTTAACCACAAGACTGTCTCATCTTAGCTATAAGACTGTCTTATCTTAGCCACAAGACTGTCTCATCTTGGCCACAAGACTGTCTCATCTTAGCTATAAGACTGTCTTATCTTAGCCACAAGACTGTCTCATCTTGGCCACAAGACTGTCTCATCTTGGCCACAAGACTGTCTCATCTTGGCCACAAGACTGTCTCATCTTAACCACAAGACTGTCTCATCTTGGCCACAAGACTGTCTCATCTTGGCCACAAGACTGTCTCATCTTAACCTCAAGACTGTCTCATCTTAACCACAAGACAGTCTCATCTTAGCTATAAGACTGTCTCATCTTGGCCACAAGACTGTCTCATCTTGGCCACAAGACTGTCTCATCTTGGCCACAAGACTGTCTCATCTTGGCCACAAGACTGTCTTATCTTGGCCACAAGACATGTCTTATCTCAGTCTTAATGAACAATTACAAGATAGCATAGAACACCTAAACATTCCACCTGGGAAGCAACGTTATAATTGTACAAGATATAAACATTTGAAGAAAAACATATATAATTTGCTAAAACTAGTAAACAAATAAAAAAAACGGAGGAATTAAGACTGGTAAGGGGGGTCTGAGACAGATAGCAAGACCAGCACACCACTCTTTGGGAGCGTCGTGCGCAAGTGCTCCCTCGTGCATACGTGCTTCCTTCATGCACGTACATAAACAAACCATGAAAGCGGTGCTGCATGCAAGCCAAAGAAAAAAGGTAACACTATCACTTTGTATCGCTTTAAGGCGTGACGATTCTTGGCGTCCTGCACGAGGTAAGGAGCGCCAGTCTTCTCTACTCCTAACTGCTCTCTTCCTCATCACCACAATCACCACCCATACAATTACCATCGCCGTTAAGTGTCGGAGCTTCCATTATACAAACATGACAGTCTGCCTTCTACGGCACCACGCTCTACGTGATTAGACTAGAGAGAGAGAGTGTGTGAATGACATTACAGATTGTACAACAAAAGCGAGCCTTGACTAGGGAAGAGTATATAACGCTGCGGTACAGTCTGCAGGAGGCTGGGGAGACAAGCTCAGGGATCCTTGTCTCCCTGTAAGCAGTCGGCGATCTACTCGGCAGCTGACAGAAGAAAATACATCAAATATAGCTTTTACAGTGTACCAGCCTACTTGCTACTCGTCTCATTCTTCAGCAAAACACGGTTGACTAGCGACATCCAGTTAGTGGAAGTATGTAGCGTTGGAAACGCGAATGTAACGCAAGCGAGAGACGTGAGAGTCTTACTTTGGGGCAATGTCAGACCCTTGCTGCATGAGAGAACCGATCGTAAACCAGAAGGCATTGCTCAGACTGATGGTGTTCTCGAGCTCATCCGGATCCTGGATGCACGGGTGAGGATTGTCCCACTCGTTGGGCGCGATCCTGCAACACAGCCACGGCCACAACACATCAGCTAGGGCGCACAGGAAGGGGGGTACAGGAGGAAGGGTTCCACGGAGCTAGCTAGGCTAACACAGCAGGAGACAAGGAGAGGGATACATACATGTGGGGTGCTGGCGGGAGCAGGGTGATGGGTCTTGGAACAATGCTGGATGTTGATGATCAAGGCGGATCTTGGAGCGGGGACATCCTGGTGGTGATGCGCCAGGCAGAAGCTTTTGGTGGTGGTGGGGTGGGAGGCTAGGTAGTTAAGTCTCATTAGTGACGCGGGTGGACTCGGGAAGCCGCCAGAACATCGCCGCAGCCACACATAACACACTGAAGCTGTACTTATACTATTAAGGAGGGGACAAGTGACAAGTAAATCAAATGAAACAAAATATTTATGAAGATTTAGAATTGGAAATAAAAATAAGAGGAACTGGACATCATACTCAGGTCGGCGGGTGGGGAGAGGTGAATCCTGAAAAAACAAAATGATAAGGGATACAAATCAGTATGAGCAAACATTATTAAGGTAAGGGTCTCTGAGCTATACACTAGTGGCCTGATCCCTGTTCTCACACGACATGACATAAATGCTCCCCAAGACGTCTGCAACAAAGCTGATGAACTGACTGGCTTTATTAAACCTGCTTAACGTAAAGTTTAATGGGTCTAAGGAGATGACCAAAGTCGTGTTGACTGGGGAAGGCTCAGACGGGTGAGACTGTTGGTGGAGGCTAGACGTGCATAGCTCAGACAGCTTCGGTGGTGCAGACGGATGAAGGAGGCGGTGAAGGGACGTGCAACAGCGGCGCCCTACACACCAGCATCAACAGGATGAGCGCCACTCTGGAGAGGAGCAGCCCCGTGAGGCAGAGACGAAGAGCTTGCTGAAGCATTGTACACCACCTTGCGGGTAGGACGCGCTCTCTCTCTGTCTCTAACCCTCTGCTCCTCTCCCTGCGACGCTCAACGGAGGAGAAAGAGGAAGGGTGATACGTGAAGAGCTAAGGGTGGACTTTCAAAACCACGAACGCGTCACGAACCCTCGAACAATACCAACTCTGCTGGCGTTTCGTAAGCAGCTTTACACGATGCAAAACTAAAAAGATAACCCATACAAAAAAATAAGAAAAAATAAATATTCAATAACCTCTGGGGGTAAAAAATAAGTGAATAAATAAACATAAAAGGAGCTTGCAGAGAATAATAACGAGTAGGGTGGACGGCGGGCGCCATGCTGGCCTACCTCGGGGCTATGTCACAACCCTGGCAGAGGAAAGTTCCGATCACGAACCAGAGAGAGTTGATGAGGGTGAAGCAGTTCTCCAGCTCCTCGGGCTCCTCCACACAAGGGTAGGGGTTGGTCCACTCTTCCGGGACCATCCTGCCAGCGACACCACCTTTACTCACTGTCCACTTATAATGCCAATACTCGTTCAGGGTCACAACTTAGTGTCAGCACACGTTCAGGGTCACAACTTAGTGTCAGCACACGTTCAGGGGTCACAACTTACTGTCAGCACACGTTCAGGGTCAAAACTTAATGGCAACTTTCACTCAGGGTCACAAATTAGTGCCTTCATATTAATTTATGGTAACAAATTAGTGCCAACACTTTAACTCAGAGTCACAACTTAGTGCCAGCACTTTAATTCATGGTTACAACTTAGTTCCAACATCATTAAAGGTCACGACTCAGTTTCAACATCTATATACAGTTGCTTAGACCTCTATAAGTTACATACGTGTGATTTCTCTTGTCACAGTTACAATTATTTCAGCCTGTTAACAGGAGTCAGCAGTCGTCTGTTCCTGTATCCACCAGCGTACAAAAAGAACACGATGCACCTCAACATAACAGTCTCTCCTGCCACTCCAACATACACACACACAGTCCGTTTTGCTATGTTAGGTAAAACGGTTGCCAGACCAAGGAAAAAACCTAAAGATGTCCCACACCATCGGGGACTAAGAAGAAAGCCTAGCGACGTTCAACGCCATCGGGACTAAGAAGAAAGCCTAGCGACGTTCAGCACCATCGGGACTAAGAAGAAAGCCTAGCGACGTTCAACGCCATCGGGACTAAGAAGAAAGCCTAGCGACGTTCAACGCCATCGGGACTAAGAAGAAAGCCTAGCGACGTTCAGCACCATCGGGACTAAGAAGAAAGCCTAGCGACGTTCAACGCCATCGGGACTAAGAAGAAAGCCTAGCGACGTTCAGCACCATCGGGACTAAGAAGAAAGCCTAGCGACGTCCAGCACCATCGGGACTAAGAAGAAAGCCTAGCGACGTCCAACACCATCGGGACTAAGAAGAAAGCCTAGTGACGTCCTGCACCATCGGGACTAAGAAGAAAGCCCAGCGACGTCCAGCACCATCAGGACTAAGAAGAAAGCCTAGCGACGTCCAGCACCATCAGGACTAAGAAGAAAGCCCAGCGACGTCCAGCACCATCAGGACTAAGAAGAAAGCCTAGCGACGTCCAGCACCATCAGGACTAAGAAGAAAGCCCAGCGACGTCCAGCACCATCAGGACTAAGAAGAAAGCCTAGCGACGTCCAGCACCATCAGGACTAAGAAGAAAGCCTAGCGACGTCCAACACCAGACTTAGAAGAAAGCCTAGCGACGTCTTGCACCATCGGAAACCATACGAACCTATACACAGACGCCAAACAAAAGACTGACGACTCACGAATAGTTTACATGATGCATATTTATTTAAAATTTATGTTTAATTAAAATTACATTACCCAACAAAAACACATAAATATGCATGTAAAATACATTACCTGGTTTCAAAATATATATTTGAAAATACATTTACAAAAATACACCATAAAAACATGAAGCAACCCAGCAACATAGATTACAGCATAGCAACATTGAGGGAGCTTGCACCAAGAAAAGCGGAGAATGCCATGCTGGCCTACCTCGTTAGGTGCCATGCTGGCCTACCTCGGGGCAATGTCAGCACCCTGGCAGAGGTATGTCGCTATTATGAACCAGAGAGAGTTGACGAGGGTGAAGCAGTTCTCCAGCTCCTCGGGCTCCTCCACACAAGGGTAGGGGTTGGTCCACTCCTCTGGGGACATCCTGTCAGTGCCATCACCGTTACTCTTTGACACCGCTTTACTCAATGTCAAATCTTAGTGTCAGGTTCGTTACTTATTTAGATTCCTTTACTTAGTGTCAACCCTGTTACTCTTGTGTCGAGTCCGTTAATGAGTGTCAAGTCCGTTATTCATTGACACCACTTTACTTAGGGTCGGGTTCCATTCAGATGTCCTTTACTGACTGTCACTGTATATACAGTGACGGGCGCCATCGTTACCAAGAGCCTCCAATCTACATGGCACAGATTTACATGAACGGCACCGCAGGAACGGCGTATCTGGTACTCATATACCAGATGTAAAGCAGCTGACATCCTCACGTTCAAGAACGAACACACACACACACACACACACACACACACACACACACACACACACACACACACACACACACACACACACACAAAACGTTGCCCATGCCATTAGGCTTCCCCATCCCCCAGTGACATCGTTCTATGACGATGAAATGCCTGCCCCCGTTCAGGAAGATATGTTACACACACCTCTCCAAGGCGCGACCTACATGTACATTCCACCAAAACCTAATTACATTTGGTAGCCCTTGATATTTATAGACATTTAAATATACTACATTTTGTTGAAGCTTTACGCGAGAACGATAAATTTGGAAATCCAGGATTGTCGCCAGCAGTGCTCGAAGCTCAAGATCTTAAGTAAACAAAAGGAAAAAAAATGCATACCGTCTTTATAGGCCGTCCTGTGAAATAAAACCATGTTAGCAGCTATCTACTGAATGGAACAAATATCTGTTAAAATATTAATATAATACACAATTTTATGATGAGAAATACATTGCAACTATAGAAGCGAACAACGAGATAAACAGCGCGGCTCAAAAGAAGCATAAAATGGGAGAGCTGAATTTAAAAGAACCTGCAAGCGGATTTCCCCACTTGGCCGCCAAGAACGCCAGGTACAGAGGAGGCGTTCGTCTAGGCGGAGGAGGCACTGGACGGATGCGCACACACGCACACACACACACACACACACACACACACAGAGTGACTACAAATCTTGAAGACCGTTTAGCGCTTCTAAATATGGGCTCGACTGACGTCATTTGGAGGCCATATCCCAGTAGTTTCGAGCGGAAAACGCCACGAGAGTTCAATAATACTGTCTTTGTAAAACATTATATACGACTCTTCAAAAAGCCTTAGAAGAAGGAGGTGGTACCTCAGACAAGCCGCTGTCTTCCTATACCCATCGACGCCACTAAAGATGGTGTCCCTCAGGTAAAAATTATGTGTTTTTAAACAAACAATATATTTAAACTATAATATGTGTGATAAAAAGTATTTTGTTTACTTTTTTTGAGTATATATATATATATATATATATATATATATACTCAAGAAAGAAAATTAGGTTAGGGTTTCATTTTTAATGTCATCAACCGTGCCATGTTTCATTTAGGGTTTATTTACATATATTAAATGAACAATTTGGGTACCTTGCGGGGTAACTCTGTGGACCCTATACAAGTATTTAGTAGGCTTAATAAGTTTGTGTATATTTCTTCTATTTGTACGTATTTTTTGGTTTTATCGTGTAACATACGTTGATTAATTTTTAACTAATAATTTTTTTTTAATCTATATATTGAAAAACGACCTTGCTGAATTTTGGGGGGTTAACATTTCAATTGATTTGTTTAATTTGTTAGATAATATGTGTTATTTATGTCCATAAGGCTTCTAGTAGAGGTGTATAATGCATACAGATATTTTACAAGGCCATGAGCCCTTAGCCAGGAATCTCATTATGGCGTCCAAATGACGCCTTTACATTCAGTAACTCTTAACACTCTGGTATTCAGTAGCTCTGTGGGACGCTCAAGGAAACATTCCTGCCCCGTATGGTATGTGTCACGTGTTACATATATCTTATAATACATATATATATATATATATATATATATATATATATATATATATATATATATATATATATATATATATATATATAATCTTTGAAGTGATTAACACAACGTGTATTTAAAGCTATCATTGTTTTGGTATAACTATACAGGAGGTTATTCGGATATAAGCCGGATCAGGATTTATTTTTAACATTTGCGAAACCCGTACATCTTTCATCGATCATGGGTCGAGGGCGACCACGCAGCGTTTCCTAGTGCGTAAAGTATTTAATAACTACAGACCGAGCCGCGTTGATCAAGGGAAGATGCAAAAGTTTCGTAAGCAAACCGTCAACGCCTAGAAAGCCTTTAACTGACACATTGATCATAGATGTCTCTCGATATGAGAAAGTCAGTGACTATGAGACATCATGATACAGCCCCCTGGGACATGGAATGCCTCCTTGGAGCGTCCACAACGGAAAGAAGTAACAAAAATAAGGAGAGGGAAGAGCAGTGCGCCATGTGAGGAGAGCCACGTAGCCATACTTGGGAGCAATATCAGCCCCCTGGCAGAGGAAGGTGCCTATAATGAACCACATTGAGTTGAGCAAGGTGAAGCTGTTCTCTAGTTCCTCCGGCTCCTCGATACACGGGTAGGGACAGTCCCACTCGTCCGGGGCCATCCTGTCGGGGCAGGTCACGTCAGGTCAGGTCAACGGTAACAAGGGACCTTCAACCACACCTTTGCTCTTTGTGGTTGGGGGGAGTTTTAGACTGATGGTAGTGTGATGTATGACGTGTGTGGGTTTCAGCACGTAGTGTGTGTGTGTGAGTAAATAGTGTGAATTCGTAGTGTTTGTGTGTAGTGTATTTGTGTGAGTGCGTGATTTTTGTGTGTAATATGTTTGTGTGTGTGCGTTAGTACTGTGCAATTCCCGTCTGTCATATAATCTTTCTCATGTGACGCTTTCAAAACTCTGTTGATGTTGCCACCCTCGTTGGCATAATGATATTTGTTCAGAGATTTTCACAGATTTCAGCCACATTTGTTTTCTAAGCTTGGATTTATGTATACTGTATATACAAGTGTATAAGAGGGCTCGACCGATACACTCAGGATTTAATATTGTCCTCACACGACCTAGAATCCTGGGGGACCCTTACAGTGATATAATTTTGTATGTGGTGATCATGTCACCTTCTTTTCTTCTATCCACTAGTTTTTGGCATATCTAACCCTGCCAAGTCTTGCCTCTTAGCTCTTGGCTCTTAGGCCAAGGAACCATTTAGCAACATGCTTTTGCACCTTTCCTATTTAAACTGTTATATATATATATATATATATATATATATATATATATATATATATATATATATATATATATATATATATATATATATATATATAATTTTGGCACCAAGCCACTGTTGCATATTCTAATTTTGGTCTCACGAATGTCGTGAACAGTTTTTGTTAGCACTTCTCTTTCTTTTAATTCTGATGAAATTTTCAAGAGTAGCGTAGGCGACTCTTATTATGCACGCTGAACTTGACAGCTTATTGTGTGGGTGCAGTACACTTGAACACCTTATAGTGTGAGACAAAGTGTATCAGAAGTGTAAGTGTCAAAGTGTATCAGAAGTGTAAGTGTGTACCAAAGTGTATCAGAAGTTTAAGTGTGTACCAAAGTGTATCAGAAGTGTAAGTGTGTACCAAAGTGTATCAGAAGTGTAAGTGTGAGACAAAGTGTATCAGAAGTGTAAGTGTGTACCAAAGTGTATCAGAAGTTTAAGTGTGTACCAAAGTGTATCAGAAGTGTAAGTGTGTACCAAAGTGTATCAGAAGTGTAAGTGTGAGACAAAGTGTATCAGAAGTGTAAGTGTGAGACAAAGTGTATCAGAAGTGTAAGTGTGTACCAAAGTGTATCAGAAGTGTAAGTGTGTACCAAAGTGTATCAGAAGTGTAAGTGTGTACCAAAGTGTATCAGAAGTGTAAGTGTGTACCAAAGTGTATCAGAAGTGTAAGTGTGTACCAAAGTGTATCAGAAGTGTAAGTGTGTACCAAAGTGTATCAGAAGTGTAAGTGTGTACCAAAGTGTATCAGAAGTGTAAGTGTGAGACAAAGTGTATCAGAAGTGTAAGTGTGTACCAAAGTGTATCAGAAGTTTAAGTGTGTACCAAAGTGTATCAGAAGTGTAAGTGTGTACCAAAGTGTATCAGAAGTGTAAGTGTGAGACAAAGTGTATCAGAAGTGTAAGTGTGAGACAAAGTGTATCAGAAGTGTAAGTGTGTACCAAAGTGTATCAGAAGTGTAAGTGTGTACCAAAGTGTATCAGAAGTGTAAGTGTGTACCAAAGTGTATCAGAAGTGTAAGTGTGTACCAAAGTGTATCAGAAGTGTAAGTGTGTACCAAAGTGTATCAGAAGTGTAAGTGTGTACCAAAGTGTATCAGAAGTGTAAGTGTGTACCAAAGTGTATCAGAAGTGTAAGTGTGTACCAAAGTGTATCAGAAGTGTAAGTGTGTACCAAAGTGTATCAGAAGTGTAAGTGTGTACCAAAGTGTATCAGAAGTGTAAGTGTGTACCAAAGTGTATCAGAAGTGTAAGTGTGTACCAAAGTGTATCAGAAGTGTAAGTGTGTACCAAAGTGTATCAGAAGTGTAAGTGTGTACCAAAGTGTATCAGAAGTGTACCATCAGCTCTAACCACCAACTCAAAATCTGAAGAGGGAAACTTTAAAATTCTTTCATTAACATCAATATTGACAACAATAATAATAGTAATTTACACATTAATAATTCATAAAGAGAAACCATTAAAATTATACACATTAAGGAATCACAACAGTCAGTAAATTTGTTTACAAATAAATGCAACAAAAAATATACATATAATAAAAATGAAGGGGAACAAAAAGAATCAAAATACAAGAATAACGTACTAATCCTCAATGTATTTTTCCTAATAAAAACTAGAGCATTTCAAAATACAATAAAACTTTTTTTTTGTTAACTAAGACTAAGTATCATTAGGAATGGTACAGATGTTCTTAATGAAACTACATGCAAAGAGAAGTTTAATCTTTCAGTAGCGCGTCTGAAACCTACGGTGGAGCCTCATTTAATAAATAATAAATAAATATGTTTATTCAGGTAAGGTACATACATACAAGTGATGTTACATTAATGGATTGATATAAAGATAGAGCTAGTACATACAATGCCTAAAGCCACTATTACGCAATGCGTTTCGGGCAAAAGGTTAGTTTGGTTAGTTTGGTTAGTTTGGTGTTGTGCTTAGGTCCTGTGAACCTTTGGATGGCTTTTATAAGGCCGCCACAACAGTTTACTGATCCACTAGAAATATTTTGGCTCTCTACACAGTCCAGAACTAATATAAACTCTATATGTCTACCCTGAGGAGCTGTGTACTCATTCTCTCTGAACATATATTCTTAATATATTTTTTATGCTATAACTTTATTTTTCGTGTATTATTTGTATACACAGGAATCAACTCAATTTAATGTTAAGTAGCTATTATGTAAGAAACAAAAATCAAATTAATTTATTTCTTAAATTTCTTGTTTATCACAATTCTTACTTATAATTTAATTTTTATATAAAATGAATATTATTATTCTAAAGTGTTCTCACCTGGCGAGGATGAACAGGAGAACAGAAACACCAAGGTAAGCAGTAGCCATATAGATCCAAACATCAACAGAAAACGGAGACATGAAGGAGAACAGACTCGGGGATTTCTTCTGCGCCTTCTTATACACGATGCTAATACCTGTAGAAAAATTGAATGTGATAGATTATTCATTTTTAAATGAAATTTAGAATGGAATTGCAAGGTTAATGCTGCGTTATTTATTGATAGGTTAATTTGAATAAATTCTATGGAAAATTGGCATATATGTTAGGGAAGGTGGTTGTATCTCTGTTTTGGGAATGGGATTCATAGTGTAGTAGAGGTGGAAGGTAAACTATTAAAAAATAAAAGTTGGGACGTGTGTGTATGCTGCCATTGAGGAAGCCTAATTGGGACTCCAGAGGACAAATTTTTAAGTAAAAATCAGAAATCTTCCGGGTGACTGAGAAGTTTCTTTAAGATGATGGTGTCATTTATTTATTTACATATATATCCAAGAAGGTACATTGGGTTTGTGAGGATACATAGCGTGGTGTTTACAATCTTGTAAAGCCACTAGTTCGCGCAGCGTTTCGGGCAGGTCCTTAATCTAACAGATAATTTTAAGTAGGTAAATTCTAGCAAAATTTATAAAGTTATAACAGGTACATTACAAGAAAAAAATGAGCTGAGAGAGATTAGTAGGTATATTAAGGCACATCGGTAGCTCTGTTTGATTGCATTGACAGCTTGATTGGTAATTTAACAAAGATTAATAGGCACAATACAGCATATTGATAGCACATATAAGAAGACAGCAATGATCACAATGGTAAAGTTTGTTTGGATTAGGTACATAAAGATTGGGAGATTGGGTAGCACTAGATACAGTGCCATTTTACAGCACAAGGTAGGAAACTATGAAGATGAAATTAGGTACTTTTTGTTTTTGTTTTTCAATGACGCAAAAGTTGGACAGCTTTTCAATTCATTAGGGGAGTGAGTTCCATAGACTAGGTCCCTTTATTTGCATAGTGTGTTTACACAGATTAAGTTTGACTCTGGGCATATCAAAGAGATATTTATTTCTGGTGTGGTGATAATGGGTCCTATTACATCTGTCCTGGGAGAGTTTCAGAGCAGGGTTTGCATTTAAGAACTGAGCTTTGTAAATGTAATTGACACAAGAGAATGTGTGGAGTGAGATTATGTTTAGGGATTTAAACAAGGGGGCCGAGTGTTGTCTGAAAGCAGAATTTGTTATTAATCTGATAGCAGATTTTGCTGGGTGACGATGGATTTGAGGTGGTTTGCAGTGGTAGACCCCCATAAACAGATACCATAATTAAGATAGGGATAGATTAGTGCATAATATAGTGAGAGGAGAGCAGAGTTAGGAACATAATATCTTATTTTAGAGAGTATACCAACTGTTTTAGAGACTTTCTTAGTTATGTGTTGTATGTGGGTGATGAAGTTGAGTCTCTTGTCTAGGAATAGGCCAAGAAACGTTCCATCATTTTTATTACTGGTCTTGGTTATCTTGAGATGATTTTGAGGCTTAGCGTCCCCGCGGCCCGGTCCTCGACCAGGCCTCCTTTTTTTTGGTACACACCCTCAGGAAGCAGCCCGTAGCAATGATTTAACATTGTCTATCTGAAGCTGAATTGCATTTGTTGATTTTCTTCCAAATAAGATGTAGTAGGTCTTTTTTATGTTTAGTGTTAGGTTGTTGGCTGACTCCACAGGCGGACTTTTTTTTAATTCATTATTCACAACATTATTTAGCGTGTGTGTGGATTGGGGGTTTGAATAGATGAGGGTAGTATCATCAGCAAACAATATAGGTTTAAGAATGTTAGAGACATTAGGCAGATCATTGATGTATATAAGAAATAGAAGAGGTCCCAAGATGCTGCCCTGTGGCACTCCAACGGCTATTGGTAGAGTGGGAGAGGTTATATCATTGATGGCTACACATTGTTGTCTATCACTAAGATAGGATCGGATATAGTCCAGGGCAAGGCCTCGGATTCCATAATGATGGAATTAAAATAAGAGGTAGATGTGATTAACAGTGTCAAAGGCTTTTCTCAGGTCAATGAAGAGTCCAATCGGAAACTCATTTTTGTCAAGGGCTGAGTAGATTATATTAAGGCGACTAATAATTGCATCGTTAGTACTCTTTTTGGGAGCGGAAGCCAAACTGACAGAAGGGCTGAGTATGTCGAATTTTACGAGGTAGGAGTAGAGCTGTTTGTAGATAATTTTGTTCAAATAGTTTTGATAATATGGGTAGGCTTGATATTGGTCTATAATTGTTTATATCAACCGGCAGACAATTTAACACCATCCTAAAACTATACTATAGAAATGGCCCGAGTATTATAAATACCTATAGACGTGTTAAGTGCACTTGAGTGCGTAGGAATTATCGATGTTATTGCAGTCACAGAAACATGGACGGATGTTAGAAAGGGGGAATTATTTGCAAAATGCCAAATTAAAGGACAAATGTAAATCACGTGATGGTAGTGCCAACATGCCACTCCATACGATTCCATACACACTATACCCTCGCTGAAAGATTGATTGATGAAGATTAAGCCACCCAAAAGGTGGCACGGGCATGAATAGCCCGTAAGTGGTGGGCCTTTTGAGCCATTACCAGTATCAAGAGCTGATACTGGAGATCTGTGGAGGTGCGACTGCACCCTGTGTGACGGCAGATGTCTCCCGTATACCCTCGCTGTAGCTTACCCAAGTTCATAAAAGGCATACTGAAGTCTACGGCTTCCTCTCGCTCGTACGTGATGGTGAAGTCCACGATGCCCAGGTCAGCTTTCTGTAATGCAGAACAGTCTCTTACAAAGGCACCTATGTACAGTTATCATTTAGATTACCTTGTGGGTTTTGTTGTTCGTGTTGATGCGTCGTTTTCTGTTTTTTGTGTGTCATGAGGAGACAAATAGTGTCATGAGGAGGGGAAAAAATGGCTTACTAGGATCTATTTTTCACTGCAAAACACAACGGTCATGGTTACCTTGACCCAACAGAAAATCTGACTCCCTCCATGAAAACCAACAAGTTGACCTTTGACCCCTCAACAAAACTGAATCCTTCCCTCCATCCTTTCCTCCCGTTCCGGTGTAAGGAAGAAATGGAAGGAAATTATGAGGAGAAAGTGCCAATCCCGGTGTAAGGGAAAAACAAATCGTATCCGTACATGGTCGAGGAGCTCCCTGACGATGCCGTCCCACTCTCCCGTCTCTCTGTTCTTGCTGCCGTACGCCCCGTCCGCCACCAGCTGGAAGGTGTAGTTGAAGCCCCGGATGGCGGCGATCTCGTGGATAAGGTCGACGCAGAAGCCCTCGAAGCGCGCGTTGCCATGGAGGAGTTCGGAGCTCTCCGTGCGCATGGTGTAGGGCGGCGTCTGTGGGAGGAAGGAAAAAAAAAAAAACACCTGCAGGAGCACAACAGCTTAGTCTCCCCTCACTCACTCACCAACCCGTCCTCTCAATAGGTCCCGTTTTCTTTTTGTTCTTAAACGTTATCGTAACCAACGTTACAAATGCAACCTATTAAGTAAATGCCCACAAATATGTACTTTTTTCTATTCGTCGGACTCGATGGTTAGGTGGGTTGCTTGGGTTCGTACGTTTGTGGTTAGGAAGGAGATTGGAATTTTGTTTTTACGGAGTTAGTTTATTTTAGTTCATTAATTATGCACCCCATACCCATCTTGTGGGCGGTAGTGGAAAGGGTTACAGAAGTCCTCTTAAAAAGATTCAAAGTCCTCTTAAAAAGATTCGAAGTCCTCTTAAAAAGATTCGAAGTCCTCTTAAGAAGATTCGAAGTCCTCTTAAGAAGATTCGAAGTCCTCTTAAGAAGATTCGAAGTCCTCTTAAAAAGAATCCTTTAAGAAGAAACTAAGCCCTTTCTTTCACCTGAAGCCCCTGTTCACCTAGCAGTAAAAATAGGAACCTGGGAATTAGCAGCTACGGGCTGCATCCGGAGGATGTAATCATTTAATAAAGCATTGTGTTCGGGGACAGGCAGCCAGAGTGTATTCATACACTTTAGGCTTATATCGAGGTCCCCCCCCAAAAAAAAAATCGAATTAACAACAAATTCATTAACTCCTGAGTACCTACTTACTGCTAGGTGAACAGGGGCATTTGGTGATAGGAAATGCGCCCAGCCATTTCTATCCCGCCCGGGATTCGAACCCGGAATTGTTGATTGTACGTCGAGAACAAACCCGGCTGTACTATCGGGACCTTCAATGTGTGTTTGGGTTAGATAGAAATGTAGAGGAAAATAGGGCGGGAGTCAGTTCATTAGACAACCGACGGTTAGAAAAGCGGGGCCCAAGAGCTAATAGCTCGATCCTGCAGGCAGAAATAGTAAATACGCGTGCGCGCGCATACACACACACACACACACACACACAGGAATTGATTGGGTAGATAAAGACAGGCTATTTAACACAAGGGGGTCACGCACTAGGGGACACAGGTGGAAATTGAGTGTCCAAATGAGCCACAGAGACATTAGAAAGAACTTTTTCAGTGTCAGAGTGGTTGACAAATGGAATGCATTAGAAAGTGATGTGGTGGAGGCTGACTCCATACACAGTTTCAAGGGTAGATATGATAGAGCCCAATAGGCTCAGGAACCTGTACATTAGTTGATAAGACAGTTGAGAGGCGGGACCAAAGAGCCAGAGCTCAACCCCCGCAAACACAACTAGGTGAGTACAACTAGGCGAGTACACACACACACACACACACACACACACACACACACAAAAAACATCCTCACCCACCAGAGCTGTGGAGACGATAAGGGTCCTGTTCTGGAGATTAAGTTCCATGGCGTCAACCAACTCCGCCCAGGTCCTAGTGTAGTTGGCACCCCCATATTTCGTCCACGTGCCCACCTGTGGTCAAAACAAGCCAAGTGTCAACCAGTGTACCACGGTAACAGGTCCCTGGCGTCCCTGGTGCTCGACCAACACACACAAAACACTCACACAACTTACCCATTCCAAGAGTCTGGGACCCATACCTTGCGAAGGTTAAAATATGAAACTAAAGATTAGAATATTTTACAGCTGTGATATCGGAATTCAGAGAATCAAGCTGTGAAGACTAGTTTGAAATTGAAATTGAAATAAGTTTGAGGTAAAATACACACAAAGGGATGAGGTAGCTCAAGCTATTCTCACCCCGTTCAGTACATCGTGTTAATACATACATAGACACACATCACAAGCAATAAACATATTACCAAACATTCTGAGAGATAAACATATACATTTCCTAAGACTAGTTCAGGCAGCTAAACTTATTAAATTAAACAGAAGCATCAGGATGGGGCATGATTACAACATATAAGATTCCGAGATGCACAGATAACGTGGACAGGGACAGTCTGAACAAATCCACAACGGCCGTGACGAGGATTCGAACCTGCGTCCGAGAGCATCCCAGACGCTGCCTTAATCGACTGAGCTACGACATGGTCAAAAGGAGTTGAAACCGAAGTTCAACTGAACTTACTGGATCCTGCAGCCTCTCCGAGACACAAGCCAGGGTTTTTCACAACTCCCCCCATGCACCCGAGCTATGTCAATAGGCCGTTCTCCCTCTTCGCCCTTACTTCATTACACACAGAAATCACAATTGCGTGAATAGAGGCTGCAGGATCCAGTAAGTTCAGTTGAACTTCGGTTTCAACTCCTTTTGACCCTGTCGTAGCTCAGTCGATTAAGGCAGCGTCTGGGATGCTCTCGGACGCAGGTTCGAATCCTCGTCACGGCCCTTGTGGATTTGTTCATTTGATGCATCACGCAATTGTGATTTCTGTGTGTAGGAACAGTCTGTTTCATTTGGTGGGTAAAGTGGACGTTGAATTAAAAGTTCCAAAGTGGCCACAATTGCTTCGACGGTCATCAAGCAGAGTGAAGGGAAGGTGGTGTCGGCTAACTCTCTCTACAATCATCCTCTTTACCTACACTTTTACCTACCTTACCTTCCTGCTTACATATCAACCCGTTCTCCCACTTGCTTACAGTCAATATTGGCTTATTTAATAAGTGCATATGTGACATACTAATTGATTGTGAATATTTTAATTTACCTTGAAAAGCTTCATAGAAAACACCGACCTCACCTAATCTTCTTAGTATGTTAAGATAAGCATCTTATTGCTTCATATTTACAATTATTACTTAACCTATCAACGATATAGGTTAAGTAATAATTGTAGTTAAGAAGCAATAAGATGCTTATCTTAACATACTAAGAAGGTTAGGTGAGGTCGGTGTTTTATATAAAGCTTTTCAAGGTAAACTAAAATATTCACAATCAATTAGTATGTCACATATGCACTTATTAAATAAGCCAATATTGACAGTAAGCAAGTGCGAGAACGGGTTGTACATATCCACCTGCCCAGTTGCCGCCGTCCTCACCTTCTTCAGTGTCTCCTTCTGGTCCATCTCGAGAATGTCCAGCTGGAATTCGGACCTGAAGCCGGCCGTGTCGAACTTGATAGGTCCCGTGAGGCCTGAGGCCTGAACTTGACTGAAGTGGGTGTAGTTCCTTTCGAGAGTGTACATTCCGCCCCGCCTGCCGTCATTGCTGTTCGTGTGGGGCCGGGAGCCGTACTGTGACCGGGAGACAGGGAGGAGTCGGAGAGTGTGAGAGAGAAACTTGGTTATGCACCACTGTTGGGTGGCTTTTATTCGAGTTCTGGACAAGGTTGAGAAACGTACCAGATGACTTATCTTAAGACCTGACCCGATGTGGTTGGACTACTAGAGAGGTGTTGGCGGACTTATTGGTATGTACAAGGCCAATGTTCTCAAAGTTCCATACCTAGTGTTGACCAGACCACACACTAGAAGTTGAAGGGACGACGACGTTTCGGTCCGTTCTGGACCATTCTCAAGTTGAATCGACTTGAGAATGGTCCAGGACGGACCGAAACGTCGTCGTCCCTTCAACTTCTAGTGTGTGGTCTGGTCAACATACTTCAGCCACGTTATTGTGACTCATCGCCTTCCATACCTAGTTCCACGTCACTTCGTGAACAACCGATAGGTGGCAACCACTACACAAGGCGCTCAGCCAAGAGCATAATCACGCTGAACGTACCATTCTCAAGAACATCTGTACATAAGCGAACCATTCATTCCTAGCCTGACTCATTTTGATCATGTTCTCTCAACATGCACATTTACATGATATCAACCCAACCGCCCTATAATGGCCCTGGCACACAGTTGGTTCCTGGTTCATCCTGTACCTTACATGATTGCAACCAACTAGAAAAAAAACTAGCAATATCATTAAATTAGTCGGCTTCTAGCGTGAGATTTCTAATGATCTGATATAAGATAACAGCGCTTAGCCTGTATAGTTTCATTAGGAACATCGACACCATTCCTAATAATCCCTTATCTTAGTTTAACAAGAAAAGGAGAAATAAAAATAGAAGAGTGAGACAAAGATGAGAATATCAACAGAAAGGAGAAAGAGAGGGGAAGAGAGAGACAAAGATAAACAAATAGAGTGAGAGATGTGATTAATTGTATACTATTAATCAAAACCCTGATAGAGGTACAATAAAGGCATACCACTTAGCCATATGAACGTAAATCATCCACATTCTCGTTATTTTAAATGTTTAAATTACCAGGGCCCAGATTCACGAAAGCACTTACGCAAGCACTTACGAACGTGTACATCTTTCCTTAATTTTTGACGGCTTTAGTTAAATTTATTAAACAGTTTACAAGCATCAAAACTTCCCATTCAACTGTTGTTATTGTTATAAACAGCCTCCTGGTGCTTCCGAGCTCATTAACTGTTTAATAATTGGAAACAAAGCCGTCAAAGATTGAGAAAAGATGTACAGGTTCGTAAGTGTTTGCGTAAGGGCTTTCGTGAATCTGGCCCATATGTCTCTACTGAAACTTTAGTCCCCAAAATCGAAGTACTGTGTCCGTAGGAAGGGAGTAGCCTAGCCACGCAGGGTGAACTAAACCAATAGTGAGGTCGGGGGGGGAGGGGAGACCCCAGGGGAGGGGAGACCCCAGCATCTCTCACCCATTTCATGAAGTTGATGAGCGAGTTGCCATGTTGCCAGGCCTTGTCGCCCTCGCAGTACAGCCGATCTATGTTGATCTCTTTAGAGTTGTCGAGGTCATCCAGCGCCTTGGCGAAGAGGTAGACGGCATCGTACATCAGTGCCGCCTCAGTCTGCGGCGCCACAGGCAATTCGAATATGCATATTACTTCAGATTATATTGAAGAGTATATGTTTATATTTGTGACATATTAACCTAGTGCAGCCCACTACTACCCCCCCGTCAATCCACCATCCCTGTCAACCCACCGTGACTTTCGTGAAGCGATCGGAGAGAGTGCGGCCGTAGCGTAGTTCCCCAAACTTCCACTTCTCCACCACCTCCTTGATGTCGGGCGTGTGCGGGTCGATCACCTGCACCCCGGTGATGTTGGTGCCCCCGTACCGGAAGTCCTCCAGGTCCACCTGGTTGAAGTCCTGTGTGTGTGATGGTTAGTTTATGCTTAACTGTTTTGTCCTTTGTTGTTTTAATTGTTAAAACTACTCACACTTTTACACAAACACACTCTTAGCTCTCCAATTATTGCTTTCTAACCAACTCGGTCTCGGTCTCTCTCTCTCTCTCTCTCTCTCTCTCTCTCTCTCTCTCTCTCTCTCTCTCTCTCTCTCTCTCTCTCTCTCTCTCTCTCTCTCTCTCTCTCTCTCTCTCTCTCTCTCTCTCTCTCTCTCTCTCTCTCTCTCTCTCTCTCTCTCTCTCTCTCTCTCTCTCTCTCTCTCTCTCTCTCTCTCTCTCTCTCTCTCTCTCTCTCTCTCTCTCTTTCTCTCTCTCTCTCTCTCTCTCTCTCAACACCTACAATACGACAAGTGTGAGGTCACTGGAGACTGACCAGGGAGGTGATGAAGTAGTTGTGATACTCCCGCATGAGACCGATCTGGGCCGCCTGGCGGAGCACTGAGTGTATCTTGTCCTGACTCACGTCCAGCACGATGTGCGTCGCCTGGAACCGTCGGATCTCCTTCAGCAGCGGTCTGACGCCCCGACACGCAGGCAGGGAGGTGCAAATAAGTCATTATCAATAGAGACCCCCTAGGCCAGTGTGGCTTCAAAATATTCACAAAGTTCCTAGATATCATTCTATGAGATGCAAGTTCTATCCTATTGCATGTCCTTTAATATTTTCTAAAAAGATCTCATAATGCTAGCTAGCATATTAACGTTTATTTTATCACTAGCAGTACCCGGAATTGTAACATATTTAGTATAGCATGTGTGTTGCTTTTACATGCAACAGATGGCGCTGTTTTTAAAAAATGCATGTTTTTACCCGTCACAGGGGTGGCATCTATATAGTATGTGTGTATATCACGAAAATAAACACGTGATTAAAAATGTGACAGTGTCAGACCACGGAGGAAAATTGAAACAGGAATTTCCTTAAGTACTTTCGTATATTAATACGAAATATCTATATAGTATGTATATAAAAACCTGCTCGGATGCGAAGGGAACGTTGTGTGTAAATTTCAAAGCACTCGGTGAAGAACTTTCGGAGATTAGGGGTTATGCACAAAGGAACATTTCCATTTTTATTTATATAGATTGACGGCATATAAAAGATTATCCACGTATTTACAGTTTGGGAGCCTCGTTACCTGCAAACACCTTTCCAAGGTATTTGCTGGTAATTAATTACAAAATTATAGGTGATAACGTAATTTTAAAATGCGTTACGAAATAAAAAGTGGGCATATGATGACCGTTGAAAATTCGTCGTAAAGAATAGCTCTATATTGTGTTTGTTTACCTTTGATTCCCTAAGAATACCTTCCTGTAGTTTACACACACCAAGAATACCTTCCTGTAGTTTACACACACCAAGAATACCTTCCTGTAGTTTACACACACACCAAGAATACCTTCCTGTAGTTTACACACACCAAGAATACCTTCCTGTAGTTTACACACACAAAGAATACATTCCTCTAGTTTACACACACCAAGAATACCTTCCTGTAGTTTACACACACCAAGAACACCTTCCTGTAGTTTACACACACCAAGAATACCTTCCTGTAGTTTACACACACCAAGAACACCTTCCTGTAGTTTACACACACACAGAACACCTTCCTGTAGTTTACACACACACCAAGAATACCTTCCTGTAGTTTACACACACCAAGAACACCTTCCTGTAGTGTACACACACACCAAGAATACCTTCCTGTAGTTTACACACACCAAGAACACCTTCCTGTAGTTTACACACACACAGAACACCTACCTGAAGTCAGTGCCATCTGGGAGCTGGCGGACGGTGACTGTCCAACTCTTCTCCTTAAGAAGAGTCTGGAGCCGCACTAAGCCTTCGTTACTGTCGTAGAGAACCACGAAGTTCTTCCACTTGAGCTGCATCAGTATGTCATAGTAGGCCTGTCCGTGAGGACGCAAGGGAGGCGGTCAGTGACTAGGGGTACACGAAGCAATTGGGCAGTAATTTACACGGGTTCCAGCCAATAAGAAGATGGAGTCAGGTATATCGACACCATTTACTAACTTTCAGTACAATATGCAGATAATATTGCTGCTGATTTTGGTACTAACAAATTAACAAAAAGTATTTTATTTAATTAATCAGAAAAAATTTAGGATTGTGGATTTTCCACCCAAGAAAATGAGGATATAATTAATGTCACCTAAATACACACTATTAAATGCTATTCAGTCATTTAAGACATCAGTCTAGGGAGTAAAATTGATAAAAAAAAGTATTCTCTGTGACTGGATCTAATAAAATTAACAATAGGAGCCGGTCGGCCGAGCGGACAGCACGCTGGACTTGTAATCCTGTGGTCCTGGGTTCGATCCCGGGCGCCGGCGAGGAACAATGGGCAGAGTTTCTTTCACCCTAATGCCCCTGTTACCTAGCAGTAAAATAGGTACCTGGGTGTTAGTCAGCTGTCACGGGCTGCTTCCTGCGGGTGGAGGCCTGGTCGAGGACCGGGCCGCGGGGACACTAAAGCCCCGAAATTATCTCAAGATAACCTCAAGATCTCAAGATATGACGGGCTGCTTATAGCGAGTGTTAGCATCAGAACGGAATTCGTGACCCTGTTGTTGTTGTTGTTAAAGATTTGCTACCTAGAACAAAAAGTTCCAAGTAGCACGGGCTATGGTGAGCCCGTAGCCTCGTGCCGCTGTACTTACTCGGCTGAGGGACGGCGGATAGGGATAGAGGTTGAGGGAGTAGGCGTCCCTCGTGAGCTTGTAGTCCCAGCGGGTCTCGATGTGGGGGACCTCCATGGCGTCGCAGATGGACTGCACATGGTTGGCGGTGTTCTCGCTGTTGGGACCAAAGATGGCCGCCACCCCGGACCGCAGCAGCTTACACACTGGTGGAGTGAAGGTTCTTGTTATAGATTCAGCTACTCGGAACAAGTTCCAAGTAGCACGGGCTATGGTGAGCCCGTAACTTACCTGGCACAGAAGCGGGGCAAGTAGCACGGGCTATGGTGAGCCCGTAACTTCCCCGGTACAGGAGCGGGGCAAGTAGCACGGGCTATGGTGAGCCCGTAGTGGACTTACCTGGCACAGGAGCGGTGCTGAAATAGAGTGAAGGCAAGCGAGGGAGGTTGTCAATAATCATTCGGAAAAAAGAGTGCGAGAGTTCGGGAACTATCAGAGGGAAAGCGCCAAGCCATTACGACTATACAGCACTTGGAAGGGATCAGGATAAGGATTTGGGATGGGACGGGGGGGGGGGGGAGGAATGGTGTTCAACCACTATGGACGGTCGGGGATTAAACGCCGACCTGCATAAAGCGAGACCGTCGCTCTACCGTCCAGCCCAAGTAGTTAGACACTAATAAGTAAAGAGAGTGAGAGTCTATTTTACAACCAGCAACATACAAAAACTATATAAATGAATTAATCACTTAAGTTGACTGACATGAAGCTAGAGAAAATCCCAAATTCCAATCTAGGATGACCAGATTAAGGCAGTGTCTGGGATGCTCCCGGACGCAGGTTCGAATCCTCGTCACGGCCCTTGTAGATTTGTTCATGACCACATTGATTCCTGGTATTTCCTGGTTTCCCTTCAAAGTGCATAAATCTTTCGCTTTTTTAAAGAAGGGGGAATGTTGATTAGACCACACACTAGAATGTGAAGGGACGACGACATTTCGGTCCGTCCTGGACCATTCTCACAATCGACTTGAGAATGGTCCAGGACAGACCGAAACGTCGTCGTCCCTTCACATTCTAGTGTGTGGTCTGGTCAACATACTTTAGCCACGTTATTGTGACTCATCGCCTGCACTGGGGAAATGGATAAGGGATATCAACACGAGACAAATAAGCAAAGTTTTGAAACTATCAGACTAGGTCAGAATCCCTAACAATGGCTTTAAGCCGGCGAAGTTTGGGTTTAATTACGACATGAGCAAGTATTGGTTTTAGCAACAGATGGTAGACACCGCACCGCTTCTGTGCCAGGTAAGTCCACTACGGGCTCACCATAGCCCGTGCTACTTGGAACTTGTTCCGAGTAACTGAATCTATAACAACAACAACAGATGGTAGATTAGTGAGATACGTTGCCGGCAAACTTCATTGAGGCAAATGGTATAGATAGCTTTGAAAGCAGGTTTAAGATAAGTTAGATTTAGACTGACACCGTCCAGAATGGGGCAAAATTCCCCAACTCCGCGGTGACGCCTACTGCTTATGCTCCTATGATCTAGTTGGTGTCTAATTCTAAACTAGCTTAACAACTCGTTCAAAATAAGTGAGAAATATGGACAGACACCTCGCTTCTTCAAGGCACAAGAGCACCTGCTGATAAATAAGACGTCATTAGGAAATACAAAGATTTAAGAATAGACACGACAGAGGTCACCCAACATGTGTTCTTGCTGGGTCGTGAAGCAAGAACAAATTGAATAAGAATTAAAAAAAATCAAGGATATAAATAGAAAGTGGACATAGCCTTCCTTAGAGCGACAGAATAGATAGATTCGGATAGACTATCCTAACCTTCCATACCACAAAACATACACATAGAATGCGATAGACCAGCATGCAGTTCTATTAGAACATCCAGTCATAGATTACGATAGACTCGACTGACCGCCCTTGGATAGGCACCTGGACTAGGCTAGACCCAACTGACCTTGCTTGGAGGCCCTGAAGGAGTCGTCTGCAGGTATTCTCTCGATCTGGGCGCTGAGCTTGGATCTCGGGAGGGTTCTAGTGTCCATGTTGATTTTCTCAACTGCATACCTGAAGGCCATCTCCTGCACGTCGTCCCGGTCATCGAAGATCCCTCCTGCGACCACCGTGGGAGCGGGTACACAGTGTGATTATGGCGGGAATACTTTAAAATATAATGGGCGAGGGTTATTATGTGATTTGATGGTGATAATTGTGTTTTGTGATGTTTGGGGCACAGCCTAGCGTAATACCTGGGCTTGTCTGGGGTATAGCCTAGTGTAATGCCTGGGCTTGTCTGGGGTATAGCCTAGTGTAATGCCTGGGCTTGTCTGGGGCACAGCCTAGCGTAATGCCTGGGCTTGTCTGGGGCACAGCCTAGTGTAATGCCTGGGCTTGTCTGGGGCACAGCCTAGTGTAATGCCTGGGCTTGTCTGGGGCATAGCCTTGTGTAATAGGTAGAAAATGGAGATGAATGCACCGTGTGATTGAGAACGGGGGTTGAGACTATTCCATATGTAAAATGGTCAATTTTGTGGGGAGAAATTCAAGGGGAAACTGAGCAATTCAAGCCAGGAAGGGGGGGATCGACAGGTAAAAAGGGCTTAAACAGCCTGATTGAGGGTTAAAGGCAGGTTATTCAGAGCCCCTGTTCGGTTCATATTGTTACAAGACAGTGTGTACACATTGTACTATTTCTCTATTCTCTTCATTTCTGTTGTACACTGTTGCACACTGTTGATGACTCAGAATGTTTAACCAAGACTGCTTATCCCACACTGCTTGACAAAGACTATTCAACAAAGCCTGTATATAAAAGGACTGTGTAACATAGACTATGTAACTGTTTAACAGACTATATAAAAGGGCTGTTTAACATAGACTATACAAAAGACCTGCTTAACAAACATAATAATAATAATAATACCGAAAATATATATATAGGGTAACGTTTGCTGTTATATAATACAATTATAAGGTTACACTTTATATTAACACGGATTATACTGTACAGAATGTGTACACTTATCATCCCTAAATAAAAACTTTGGATTTGTGTTGAAGTTTATATAAATGGTTGTTGGTCTTTCAGTTCATCCTCATAGTGAATCAGAGAGAGAGGGTTGAGTAACGACCCGGCTGCCGAGAGATGGCAGCAGTTGTCAGCTGCAACCTTGGAGCATAAACATGTTAGAGGCACTCCAGTCAATTGAAGGCGGTGTAAAATATTCATATATATTTTCAGTTATATTGCAGAATGTATATCAAGTTCAAGTACGTTTATTGAGACAATAAAATATATCTCAATGGGATAGAGTAGCTTAGGCTATTTCTACTCTCTCTCTCTCTCTCTCTCTCTTTCTCTCTCTCACATCGGAAATGTGATATCTCTGGCACTGCCATCTATAGTGTGATTAAAAAAACAAATGTGGACAATGGAGTTCAATAGCTTAAATGCAAATTACCTTTACAATAATAGAATTGAAATTGGTATGTAATACATTAGACGTGTAATATCTGTTGAATACAATATTTCCAATACCCACAAAGTTGTATTGGGGGAAACATTGTAGATATATACTGAAAAATCACATTGCGGGACTTTTTGCTTTTCATTCTTTTTATATATAAATGTCTCCCCACGACCTTCATTATAACAAGAAATGTCTACTCACAGACATAATAACATAGGATAAACAACCCACACTTACGTAAAAGTGTTATAGCTTTATAACATTCATTATAATGTTAAATGTTGCAGGTCCTTCTAAAAATTTTTTTTTTTTTTTTTTTTGGGGGGGGGGTTATTTTCTTTATCAGACATTCGTTTTAGCATTCTCTTTTATCACTGCCAATGAATTGCCTATATTAAGATACAGGCATTACCTCTTACACATAACCTCTGAATTTGGCCGTTTGCCCGTATGGCCGAAAATGGACGTAATTTGAAAAATTGAAAAAAAATTAAAATAAATTTCGGATTTTTTTTCCTAAACAGCAAGTTAAGAGTCCTCTGGTAGGTTAGGAGGGCAGGGAATTCTCGTAAAGTTTCAAAATGTCATGAAAAACGTTACTCGAAAGTTTCCTTTCCTAATCTTTAACGAGTAAGCCAGACGACTCAAACAGAAAACGGGACAGTACATCACTTTCGTGAGCTGATTTCATTTCAAATTCCGTCCATTTTTGGCCATAGCGCGCATACCAGCGAAAAGCAACGTTATTTTTAAGAGGAGGACAGCTTGTCATTAGTATCCAGTGGAATTTAATATTATTAGAATTATATGACCGCTAACTGTTCATAAAGCAGCCATATGTTAGTACTGTATTACCATAAATCATTTAAGGTCTAACATAATTTAAGCCTGGCCAAGCGTAACTTGTCATAACATAACATAGGTCTAAACTATTCCTATGTTAGGTTAAAGCTAGGTCATGTTATATTAGGTAATTTTATTTTTACCAAATTGCTTATTGAAAAGTACGTTATGGAACTATGTAAATATAGATACTTCACTAATGTGAGGATAGTGATAGTTTGCATAGGGAATTTTTTTCAGCGTCAGAATAATGAATCATTGGAACAATCAAAGGAGTGAATATCTCAATGTTTAAATAAGTAACAATCTTTTTATATACCAATTGACAGTTTTTTGTGTTTTTTGGTCTTCCTCTCATCAGTAGGCCTATGTGCTGAGATCCGTTACGTTACTGATAGAGAGAAGGAGGGAGTAGTTGGCTGGCCTATTTTTGTTTCCTGCCCGAAACGCTTTGCGTAATAGTGGTTTTAGGCATTGTATGTACTACCTCTATAAATCTATAAATTTTTGTATAACCTCTTGTATGTATGTACTTTACCTGAATAAACATTTGAATTTTATTGACACCGCCGAAAATAAAACGCTTCTCGCCGCCACCAGATGGCAGCAGGTAGCAGCCATGGCTTTTTCAGAATTTACCTGAGGGCCGCTGACTCTAGTGGCCTCGTCGAAGACAGGATGCCAGCGACTTGTCGAAGGTCCCTCCAGATTTGCCTTGATAAGATGAAGGAGCAACCGGTTATATATGTGTAATGTACACACTATAACACTGCTGCTAGTATTATATATTTTCGCTTATAGAAGACTTTAAAATAACGACGCGTCGGCCCCAGACAAATGGAAGCAGCTTACACACGACCACGTCAACAAAATGGCGACGACAGGTCGTTTACATTTATATAACACGAGTGGATATATATATATATATATATATATATATATATATATATATATATATATATATATATATATATATATATATATATGTCGTACCTAGTAGCCAGAACGCACTTGTCAGCCTACATATACTATGCAAGGCCCGATTTGCCTAATAAGCCAAGTTTTCATGAATTAATTGCTTTTCGACTACCTAACCTACCTAACCTAACCTAACGTTTTCGGCTACCTAACCTAACCTATAAAGATAGGTTAGGTTAGGTAGGGTTGGTTAGGTTTGGTCATATATCTACGTTAATTTTAACTCCAATAAAAACAAATTGACCTCATACATAATGAAATGGGTAGCTTTATCATTTCATAAGATAAAAATTAGAGAAAATATATTAATTCAGGAAAACTTGGCTTATTAGGCAAATCGGGCCTTGCATAGTAGGCTGAGAAGTGCGTTCTGGCTACTAGGTACGACATATATATATATTTATATATATACATACATACATATATATATATATATATATATATATATATATATATATATATATATATATATATATATATATATAATATATCTATGTATTTTAGTCTTGTATCGAAGTCCCCTAAGGTGGAACTACTGACCCTCCTCTGCTACCCCTGCTAGGTAAACAGAGGCATTTGTGTCCTACCGTTTTACCTAGGAATCGAACCCCGGATCCCCCGATTGTGAGTCGAAAACGAAGCCAACTGTACTACGAGCCCCTATATGATGTGGGTTTATGTATATTTAGGCCGAGATAAAGTTAGGTAAGGGAGTATACCTGGAGTATACCTGGAGAGAGTTCTGGGAGTTCTACTCCCTGAGCCCGGTCTGAGGCCTGGTTCGACTTGTGATAACTTGGTCCAACAGGATGTTGCTTGGAGCGGCCCGCAGGCCTTTGGTGTCCGAAAGTGAACGAAGCACGTTTTGGGTCAGAGCTTCGAACATGGTTCGGTGAATTATGTCCCAACTTGTTTTAGTCGTGAACCCGACGGTCCTTTGTTTTGAAGGGTAGTTCCGCTGTTAGGGATAACCTTTGAACCCCTGACTAGGGCAGGGGTATCTCCTTGCCAGCGCATGGCGGATGTGCTGGCAGGGAGATATATGTCGGTCTTCTTCGTGAATAAAACACACACAGACACACACACACACACAGGAATCTGTACACCTGTTGATTGACGGTTGAGAGGCGGGACCAAAGAGCCAGAGCTCAACCCCCGCAAACACAACTAGGTGAGTACAACTAGGTGAGTACACACACTCCTGTGGAATAGGAGAACATAGACCCCACACAACCTATATATTATGTGAGAAATCTTTAAAGAATTCTGATAAAGAAAGATCTAGGGGTGGTTCTAGATAGAAAACTATCACCTGAGGACCACATAAAGAATATTGTGCGAGGAGCCTATGCCACGCTTTCTAACTTCAGAATTGCTTTTAAATACATGGATAGCGATATACTAAAGAAATTGTTCACGACTTTTGTTAGGCCAAAGCTATAATATGCAGCAGTTGTGTGGTGCCCATATCTTAAGAAGCACATCAACAAACTGGAAAAGGTGCAAAGACATGCTACTAAGTGGCTCCCAGAACTGAAGGGCAAGAGCTACGAGGAGAGGTTAGATGCATTAAATATGCCAAAACTAGAAGACAGAAGAAAAAGAGGTGATATGATCACTGCATACAAAATAGTAACAGGAATTGATAAAATCGATAGGGAAGATTTCCTGAGACCTGGAACTTTAAGAACAAGAGGTCATAGATTTAAACTAGCAAAACACAGATGCCGAAGAAATATAAGAAAATTCACTTTCGCAAACAGAGTGGTAGACGGTTGGAACAAGTTAGGTGAGAAGGTGGTGGAGGCCAAGACCGTCAGTA